CTAGATTAGGCGGTAGTGGTGGTAACGCCGCCGTAATGGGCAGTGAATTTGGGAAATTGACAATTTTTGGATGGATGCTAAGTAAAACGTTAACCAAATTAAAATATTTAGTAACTCAATATCTTTTTATTTATTAAATTTTGATTTGATACATTTATTAATAAATTATACACAGTTCATTTCAAAATAATAAAATTGTTGAAACATTTTCTATATTTCAAATTAACTTAATTATTCAGTCTTTAAAACTATTTTTAAAATATTCTTTTATTTTTATCCTTCATTTGGCATGAATTATTTTCTTGGAAATTTCTTACATTAATGTGGCTGAGAATTTCAAAAAAAAATGTTAAAGTTTTACCTCCAAAGATTTGGTTTCAACATAAATTTTTTGTCATTTTAAGGTAAAAAAGTTGTCAACTAAGAAAGACCGGAAGTCCATGCGAGCCGGGCTGATATTAACCAAAAAGATACCCTCCTCAAAAGGGCCTGAAATCAAAGACCCAGTCAGGGATAGAGTTGAGAATGACATTAAAATTGAACAACTGTGTAGGAGTACTAATAAGTTTTGTAAGGGTATAGTTTATTTAATTGAGTGAAATTAGGCCAGTAGTCTTTCTGAATGTGATAGCTGAAACTGTGATTCTTCGCTCGATCAATTCTGGTTACATATTGAATTTTGTATTAGAAATGAATAAAAAAATTATTTAGCATTAAAATTAGTTATTAAGATTAATGTTATTGATGAGTGGGAGGAAGATATGTTGGATCTTTGAAAAATGGATTTGAGTTTCTGAGTTGGATTGTGTTTAGATTTAGGTTTAATTATATGAGGATAAATAAAAATAGTGTCACATTTTTAATTAAAAACTTCTATATATCATATTAGATTGTAGTAGTTGTTATGTGAAAACATAATATATATTTTTAACCTAATAGGTGAAAGAAGAGTATTTTAAAATTATTTTTAATACGTCATTTTGACCCTTTTTAAAAATCAAATTGGTATTGATGAAAATACTTTAAAACATAAAAATATGGTGAATTGTCATTGTAGCAGAAAATAAGTTTATTAGATTATTGACTTGTCTGTTGAAGTTTGTTTTTAGTTATTGTAGTAGTTCTTAGCAAAATAAGTTATTTAGTTTATAATGAATTTGAATTTGAATTTTATTTAGATTGTTTGAATTGTTGAGATATTTTAGATTGTTTTAAATTTCAAATTATGCATATTATGTTTTTTATGTTAGCTATTTAAAGCCCTTAATGCTTAATAAAATTATTGAATGTCGTTGAAAGCAATTTCAATCCAAAGAGAGATATTTTCAACCCCTTTTTGCTGCCCCATTTTTAAAAAACACCAAATGTGGTATCAAGAGCTTCATTGATCTTACGGGATCTGTGAAATCTTTCAAAGAACTATCATACTATTTTTAACCCACAAGGGCTATTTTTCAATCCTTTTAACTCATCATGACTACTATTTTCAACTCATGTTTTTTCCAACGCACAGGCTTTTCTAAATCAACTCTTAACCAAAAATAATGGCAAATAGCAGTCTCTCTTTGTGCCTCAAAAATTTTCACACGAAAATTATAAAATTTTGTCTGTTTGAATAAAATCATATTTTGAAACATATGTGATATGTGATGTTGTGATGGAAGAAAAGCTCTCACAACCTCTCCCTGCAATTCCTACAAAAGTTCAGATTAAAGCACTTTCAAATAAACTACTACACAAGACAATGTCACGATTGAAGCACAGAATCAAAAGAAGAAATTTTGCAAGTTTAAAAACAATGAAAAGAATCAAACATCAACTTTCAAAGTAGAAATTGAGGAGGGGCATTTTTTCAATTACAGTGACTGGAGCAAAAGAGGAGTGTTGAAATTTCCTTTTAGTTACTGCATTAGTTTTTAGAAAAATAAGTTGTTTAGTTTATAATGAACTAGTAAACATGACGAAAAGATATTAGATTCATGATTTTTTTTAAATAGTATTTTAATTTCGATCTTCAAATTCAAATAAATTAAATATTAAATTCTAACTCACTTTAACTATATTTTAAATTTCTTCTTGAGGTATTAGCTTCATCGAAAAAGGAAACAATTCCTTGATTGACACAATTTAAATATCTCGTTCCTTTTCTTTTATGTTGAAGTAGTAATAATTGAACGGTAATATGCTTTTATCCATCTAACTGCGTTCTTTTCTAGAGTTATGATATAGTAATAAGTATAAAAATCACTTAGTTATCAGGTAACAAAATATATACACTTTAAGTGATAAATAAAATAAATGCTTATAATATGTCATTTTCTCATGCAAATGCAATTGTTAATGATCTTGTTGAAGAAAAAATACTAAAAATTAAATAAAAAATACACGATTAATAGCCACAGAACTTCTGCCTTAGAGAAACTGTCTTAAATAAAAGAAAAATATTAAGATCCTATATATAAAAATATTTTTACAATGTTTTTCTTTCATATATCATGAAAAAAAATCAATATAGTGACAAACAATTATAAATGTGATAAAATCCACATAGTCATCCTCCTCTTTCCAAATTTCTTCTAAATGACTCTCGGAAGCATTATTAAAATTAAAATGATTTTAAGTTTTATTACCACATTGACACATTTTTAGAAATCGAAGCATTATTAAAATTCAAATGATTTTAAGTTTTATATATATATATATATAGCTGCCTTCCTCCTAATTTCATAGTCTATAAATGATTAGTAGCGTGAACTACTCTTCCCAGTTTGCAAATCAAATGACAATATTTGATTAATTAATTTAATTACTTTTGCATGCCTAATTTATCATATCATGAATCATTATAATATTTAAAATATTTTTGTAAAAGAATGAAAGTAGTAAGAATAAAGCATAATCAAGAATCATAATGATATAATATTGATTCAAGAAAGAATAAATTTTAATTTATTAAACATCTAGTTGTAGAAGAAATCGTTAAGACTTCTTCAATTTTTTTGGAAATATGCCTTTTGAGTTTAATTTGTTATATGGTTAATTTGTAAGGTCGTAAGCACCTAAAATAGGATAAAAGATAAATAAAAAAACTAAACTTAAAAAGGCAAGTTATTATGGGTATAAACTTTAGTGTTATAAAAACTTATAGGGAATAATTTGTAACATAAATTTTTAATTTTTTTACGCTAAAGATTAAAAAATTCTAAAGATATAAATAAGAAAAGAAAAAGAATTTAAAAAAGTAGATGCATATGAAATTATGAATCATGACCCAAGTGATGTCTCACCTCACCTCTTCTATATCTAACTTTACCAAATATATAGCGAGATTTTTATGAATACAAAAAAGCTACTAAATTATCAATAATAAAAATGAGCTATTAGACGATGAATCTTTTAACTTATGTCTTATCATTTCACATTGATAGAGAAGTTCAATAGCACATATTTTGACAAATCCCACAATACGATCTAAATTAGATAAGGTAATAAGTTTGAATGTAGGTTAATTTTTTTTTAAAATCAAGAAGAATTTCAATTAGCATATCAATTGAGAAATTGAAGTCTAAATAAAGAATGATATTAAAAGAAAAGTAAGGATAAGTTATAAACAAACAAAATATCAAGAAAAAATTGTGTATGACATTTATCATTAACTAAAGCTATTTAAAAATGTCAAATAGGAAAAATGGGTCATTACTCTATCAATATAATCATCAATTTTTTTGTACTTACCCCTAAAATCCACATTAATATAAGAAGTAGAATAATGCATATTGTGATAATCCACAACATAATATAATATAAATTAGAAAAGATGATATTCTATGCATTATGTGAAAATAACATGAGATGAAATTTAATTCATCAATTGAAAAATCAAAATTTTAAATAAAAAACAACATCAGAAATGAAATTTAATTCATCAATTGAGAAATTAAAATTTTAAATAAAAAACAACATCAGAATAGAAATAAACACAAGAATAAAGCAATATAATAAGATAACATGATAAAATGACAAAACACGATTATACAAATATAATATTTTGTTTCAAATAAATTCAAGAATCTATAAAATAGCAAACCAATTGAAAAAATAGTCATCTAAATGATAATGATGAAATTGTGATACAAAATAGCAGAACAATTGAAAAATAGTCATCTAAAATGATAAAGATGAAAGTATATGATTCAAAATATCATTATTAAAATCTTATATAATATTAATATTGGTAAACAAAAACAAATAAAATGGTACTTGAATACTGCCTAAGTAGTCCCATCAGAAGGGAAGCAATTGGTGAACAAAAAATATTTCTCCATGACATAAATAGTTAGAGATTTATAGTAACTAGAGCCGTCAATATGGGCTAGGCCTGTTGGGCCGGCCTAGCCTAACCCGAGATTTACTAGGGCTGGGCTAAAAAATTTGGAGCCCATTTAAAAAAAGGGCTTTTAGCCCGATTTTTTTAGGAAATCACCAAGTATAGAAGTTGCATCCACTATGAAAATGTCTAAACACTTGTTGCTACTCGAAATTGGTTACATGATTTTTCTCAAACTAGTAATATATTTTTGTGTACATTTAAATATTATAATTCTCAATTTAGTTATTTTTTAATATTTAACTAATTGAAACCGCATATAAATTGCAGATGAAAATGAAGATGTTAAGACAACCTTCCCACAAGTTGATTCAGATATGCTTGATGAAGATGATCATGAAGTGTTAGATACGTCATA